GTTGCTTTGCTTCGATTCGGTTGCTTTGCTTCGGTTGCTTTGGCGATTCATTGCTTCGGTTGCTCTGCTTTGATTCCTTGCTTTGCTGCGATTCATTGCTTTGCTGCAATTCATTGCTTTGCTGCGATTCATTGCTTTGCTGCGATTCGTTGCTTTGCTTCGATTTGGTCCTTTGCTTTGATTCATTGCTTCGATTCGTTGCTTTGCTTCGATTCGTTGCTTTGCTTCGATTCGTTGCTTTGCTTCGATTTGGTCCTTTGCTTTGATTCATTGCTTCGATTCGTTGCTTTGCTTCGATTCGTTGCTTCGGTTGCTTCGGTTACTTTGGTTGCTTCGATTCGTTGCTTTGGTTGCTTCCATTGCTTTGGTTTCTTCGATTCGTTGCTGCGTTGCTTTGGTTCTTGCTTGCTTCTGTTGCTTTGATTCGTTGGTTTGCTTCGATTTTCTTCATTAAAATAGAATTAAGTGTGACTGCTTTTTCTTGTTAGTAGTATTGCTAGTAGTAAGTGTGACTTCTTTTGCTGTGTGTTATCCTCAACAAGAGGAGCAAGTTGAATAGCTGATAAGAAGATGGTGCCACCATTGTCGTGATGTGATATTGTCGAGAATTACCTTCACGGCTTGTGTTTATTTCACAGAATTTGCCTTATCGAAAATTGTGTCAGTAATTATTCTCAACTGATGGGCATCAGTTGAGGTTTTCGATGCTGTGCTGGTGAGTAGGATAATAGCGAGGTGTACGTACGTAGACTTGTACATGATTCTCTACTGTTGCATTTTTTGTTGCATTACGTTCAAATACCCCCACTGTATGACCTGGTTGTGGGGTGCGGGCAGGCGCGGGGGTCATACGGTAAATTGTAAATTTAGACCGCTACTGGGGGCTACCGTACGTACTACCGTAGTTCGAAACACGCGAACGGTCAAAATAAGAGTACGTAATACGTAATTGTACTCGTAGTCGAACATACGAGTAGTTCTCCCATGGAGTCAGTAAAAAGAAAAATCCTACCGGTACTTCAATTCATATTCGTTTCTGTTCACGGACGAGGCAAGACGACAACCAAGTCAAGAATAGAGAAGGAAAAAAGTTGATTGGCTTGTTGTTGGTACGTTGACAGGTAGATGTCATGAAAAAAGATCCCTGTTCTCGTTCTCGCGTTGTCATACCGTGCGGACTTTGCTTTTGCTGGAATGTTATGAATAGCATTGCCAATCTAATAAAAAAAATCACCGAACACTTCAAGACAAAGGAATCCTACCAAAATGATAGCTTTGAAACCTTTCTTTCTTGTTGCCCTTTTGGCAGGTACCAGCTCAGCCTTTGCTGTCATCCAGCCTGCATCTTCCATCGCGAAGGCGACGACGACGTCGACCATTCTGAAATTGAGCGGAGGCGCTGTCGGAGCAGGAACTGCTCCTGAGCTCAAGGTATGTTTTGGATCCAGATCTTTCTGTCTTTAGAAACGAGCATAAGGCATCGCAATAAGATTGATTTCTAGGATGGGCTTCTTTTTCATCGATTTTTCCCCTGAGTCGTCCACTTCGCAGCATCTCCTCACGGCATTTTCTCAAATCGTCAATTTAACAATAGCCTCCACCATCTTTATACCAAGGAGCTGTGGCCGCCGGAGTTGGCAAAGCCTCGAAGACATGGGGAGATATTTTCAAACTTGGTATTGTTAGCGGTTGCCACATTGCTTTCGGGGCATACCTCGCAATCACTGTCGGAGGAGCATGCTCGGGAATCGCAGCTGAAAATCCTGGCCTTCAGAAGGTACGTATCGGAGTGGTAGAATATGGAACAAATCATTTTTTCCTCTGGTTTGCTTAATAGAGATCAAAGTTTTCATCGAAGCCTAAATGAATTTGACTACCGTATTCAATCGGTGTTTCAGGATCTTTTGAAATCGACACTCTTCCGTTTCGATTTACAATCAGGAGTTGTTCCGAGTTCTAACTGTTGTCAATAATTTATCTTCTCGTTTAACATTTGCATTTACTTTTCATAAAAAGATCATTTTCGGTTCCTTTGGGTTGCCATTTGGTCTCATCATGACATTAGTGACAGGAGGTGAACTCTTCACAGGAAACACGGCTCTTGTAACTGCTGCGTATAAAGAAGGTAAAATTAGCGGAAAGGACTTGATCAAGAATTGGGTTTCTTCTTATACTGGGAACCTCGTGGGATCTTTGCTTTTAGCTTACTTGGCTTACAAGAGCGGAACTTTAGCCGCTAGCCCAGCGTCGGCTGCCATTGCTACAGCGAAGTGCTCTCTTCCATGGGATGTTGCATTTGTTCGTGGTATTCTGTGCAACTGGCTGGTATGCATGGCTGTCTATATGGCATCTGGTTGTGCCTCGATGGCAGGAAAGATGACTGCCGTTTACTTCCCCATTTCCGCCTTCGTCGCGCTTGGATTGGACCACAGTGTTGCGAATATGTTCATCATTCCTCTTGGGATGCTTCGTGGTGCAGACATCACTATCAAAGCATTTTTGATGAAGAATCTAATTCCAGTTACTTTAGGTAACATCGTTGGTGGGGCACTTTGTGTGATGGCTCCCTTTGGTTCGGTCTTCGGTAGCTGGGGAAAGAAGTCCGACTGATGCGGTATAGGCAATTAGTGCCAAGATACTTGTTCAGTGCCAACTCCTATCTCATCAAGCAGCATGCGGTAGATTCATGCCCTTCAACTAATATGAAATCCAGTGAATTGTCTATGTCATCATTTTGATCACTTGTTTAGCAGGGTAGAATATTCATTCGAACATTTACTTTAACTAGCGTCGTCTTTCTTCGATTTCGTGTTTTCTATTTTGGCTCTTTTTCGTTTTTTTTCTTCCCATTCGTGAATTGACAAAGTGATAGGCACATATGCTCGATCTACTGGACGAGCGCCGAGCCATGTCCAGAATGATTTTGTCGTTGCCCAACCGAGGATCAAAGGTTTTACTGTATGAAGGAATAACAATGAAAAACGCATGCTCGGCAAGATGTGAGAAGACATAACCTCAAGCCAAAATGATAATCTTAACTACTTCGAAGTAGTAAACAATACTCACCCCACTGGGTTCGACGAGCAGAAGAGGAGGGAAAAGTCGAAAAACACTATGAGAAAACGAAGTGAATCCACCCTGCCCCCTACAACGCAACGGCAATGCCAAGAAACACTTTCAATGATTCGTGAAGCATCGGTCACTCACCCTCGAACTAGCCAAAGATGCAAAAAAGTGAATACCCGCCCCAACTCCAACTGTGGGGTCAAAGAGATGTCGCAAGGGAGTGCAGAGCGATAGCGCTCGTAGCAACGCGCCGATGGAGTAGAGTAATCTAGGTCGCATTCGCGCAAAATAAAAGAGCTTCGAATACACTTCGCGGACCACACTCTGAGCTTCCGCCTGAGGAGCAATCAATGGGCTTGACATGGAAAAGCTACAATATTTGTTCAATATCACGCTCAGAATAGCATCTGTAGCAGTAACCCAATAGAGCACGTGTTGAACATACCGTGGAGGTTTCCGAGAAACAAAGGTTAGCAATTCATTAGCGGTGTCTCGGAATGATTGTAAGCGCTCTTCTTCCTTAGGCTCTGACAATGTTTCTACCTTGCTGCTGGCGTTCTTTTTTACTGTTGATGCCGATGACTTGCTTGTTAATACCGATGATATGATTTGACGATGCCCCCAATTCGGACCGATAATAGCTAGGCAAAAGCACGGATACAAAATGCAAACCACGACGTACGATGATCGAATAAATTGAGTCATTGAAATGGGCAAATGCCTCCTAAAGTTTCGTTTACGAATCTTTCTATTCATTGAAATCATTTTTCTTTTGTCACTGTTGCAAGGAATATTACTGTTTGATGAGAGCAAGGAAAAGATACCAACCGGTATTGTATTCTGTGCCTCTTTTCATAAATCGCTTTTTGAACCAGATTGAACCAGAAGACATTTTTTAAGTCGAACTGCGGTACAACAATGCTAGTACAAAAACTACCTCAGTAGGACACAGTTGAGTTTCTACGGTGACATTTGAAGTTCTTGACTTCAAATCAAAGTATAACTTCAAATTAAAACTTTTTGCGCACCGGGCAAGCCCAGTTCCAATTGTTATGAGACCTGACAAGTTTCATAACAATTGCACAGTGTCTTGCCTGGGCACCAAGAGTTTCAACTTGAAGTTAGTATAAACTTCAATTTATTGCATAGGCGTGGCTACGTTTTTCCGGCCAAAATAATCGTACATTTTTTAATACCAGATATACTACAGCACTGTATACCTTTCAATACTTGTTAACCCCCTATAACCCCCCATATCACTGAATCAGTCTTTTTACTGGGTTTTGATTCATGTGCTTATCATTGTTAAGTGTCCGTTGGGGACAAAGTTATAGCTGTTCGAGTGAGTTGACTGTCACTTTATGCCCTACGTGTTTTTTTGTACTGTGCGTCAATTTTGGGCCATCTAATTACTGTGTAATGACTACTTTGACTAAGCTTGCAGGCACATACTGAATTTTTGAATCCCACATTCATGTGACCAAATAGTTTTCCAAATAGTTTCGCTTGCACGTGCACTCTGTAAACTGCAGTACAAGCCAATTTTTAATCCCACAAGTCATTACACGGTAATTAGATGGCCCAAGAGGTACAATTAAATTGTACATTTGCTGGCCAACTCTATACGATAGTTAAGAACTTCAAATGTCATAGTAGAAAATCTACTGTGTTCTACTGACTAGTTTTTGGAATCAACCCATGACATTTATGATGATTACATGACCTCAGACCACTCAATCCATCCATTCAGTCATTTAAAAATAATTCAGTAGAACCTGGTACATGGTGTACAAGCAAAAGTTCATAACTTTGAATTGAAGTTGAGAACTTTCAGTTGAAACTCTTGCTGGCGTTGTCTTCTACTAGGGAAGAAGATTCCCAGCTTGGAGCTAGGTATGCTGGCTGGGATATCTTCAAGAGGTGTTTCCATATCTGGTGGTGGCAGCAATATTGTATCCATGTGTTTGATGAAGGCTGGGCTGTACTGGTGGTGCCGTACAAATGATGTACTAGGAAGGTCTTCTTTTTCCAATACATGGAAGTGGTTGCTGTGGATGAGGTCTGTGGGGATATCTCCCAATGCTGCTATTTTGTCTGTACTAAGAGTAGCAGGGCTCAGAAAAAATCTTAATGTAATATTTAAAGAGGCACTATGACCAGAACCATGACTATCCAGACTAGGGAGAAGAAATGCTCCTAGCTGCTCAGACAGGCGGCATCTCCCTCCGAAGGAGGTTTTCTGGAGGTAGAACTAGGTTCTATGCATACTGACAAGCCAATTAAGGCAGGTCACTGGACTCAGGATACAGAGAAAGAGTTGGTTCACAGTTTGGATGGATGGGAACCATCCCATGATCATTTTAAAGTGCACTGCCAAGCCAAAAGGCAAGTCATACTAGTGATCATGGAAAAGAGTGTCAAGCACACTATCATACCAATAAGGGCAAGTGACACACAGTTAGGAGCAAGGACACAGGTGTTGGAGTAGTCGTAGAAAAGAAAAAGAAGAGAAAGATCATCTGAGAAAGAAAAGCCAAAATAAAAGGAAAACTGTCATGATTCTTTCAATTAAGAAGGTCCTCAACAAACCAAAAGGGGCAGCTGTTTGTGAATCCTCTTCTTCTTGGCAAAGATGATGACTGGGGATAGATTGATAAGATCTACTTACTGGGTTGGATACTGGTGGGGGCTGGGGGTGTTGTTGTTGTTGTTGTTGTTGTCCAGCACAAGTGTCAGAAACAACAACATCCTGACCAGAAACTGATTCTGGTTCAAAGAACTGGGGTAGGAGAAGGATGCTGATAATAGTAGCATCAGCTTGGTGGAATTGCTTTCATAGGGGCTTGGATTTGACCAGACTCCTCTTCCCATGGAGATGCTAGGAAGTCTTCTTTAAACTGAGTATGATGTGACACATACTCCAAGCATTGTTCTTCAATGGAAAGGTCTTGGTTGAATACTGGGGGCTGGAGTTGTTGTTGTTGCTGCTGTCCAACACAAATGTCAGGAACAACAACATCAAGACTGGAATCTTCTTCCAGTCCAAAAGAAGTGGGGATGGATCCAGCTGAGACAAGCACCAGCTGGTGGGGTTACTGGGGAAACTGATATCATCATCATCTTGATTGGATTGCTTTAATAGGAGCTTGTTGTTGTTGTTGTTGTTGCTGTTGTTGTTGTTGTTGTTGTTGTTGCTGTTGTTGCTGTTGTTGCTGTTGTTGCTGTTGTTGTTGTTGTTGCTGTTGTTGTTGTTGTTGTTGTTGTTGTTGTTGTTGTCCAGCACTAATGTCAGAAACAATATCATCTTAATTTGAATCTTCTTCTGGTCCAAAAATAAGACTGGAACTACATGGAGATACTGTGGAATCTTCTTTAAACTGAGTATGTTGCATATTCTCCAGGCATTGTTCCATTGAGGTCTTGGTTAAATACTGGGGGCTGGGGCTGTTGTTGCTGCCCAACAATAATGTCAGAAACAACAACATTGTGACTAAAATCTTCTTCCTTTGGTTTCTGGCTTTGGTTCAGTACTAGTTGACTGGATTTTGACTTGGGTGTGTTCTGTTTTGGCATGATGGTGGTATTGTGGAGTGTAAGTGTTGGTCATTGATCATTTTGTTGTTTTTAAGTCCAGGAGTCTTGTTTTGCTGTTGACTTTGACACCTGTGTTTGAAGAAGGTGATTTCTGTAGGTTGCTACACGATTTAGTATTCAGTACCAGGTTCTCCTCTGGAAGTTTTGACAAAATTTCCGGAAAATGATCTGCTCTTGAAACAGTTGATGTACAAGTGCTCTGCAAGTGAGGATTGGAGTAATAAGTCAATCAATTCCATGATTGTTGTAATGCTGATGATGGTTGATGAGCTGAGATAGGCATCCTTTGTTGTTGCTCATAACCTGCAAATGTAGGAATGCTCTTTAGTGTCATAAAACAGAAGCTTTACAATCATGGTTGAGATTATGGCTCACTCACTAGCTCCTCTTGTTTTAACCTCATAGTAGTAGTAACTGTTGAGCAGCACCATTATTACATGTATCCATGATACACACTTGGTGGTTACAGCAGGGGGTTACAAGAAACTAATACTAGCAACACTTTTTATTTTGCTGCTAAAGTACATGGCTGCACCTTGAGCTGGTTACAAAGGGGGGCATGGACTGAATTTTGTAACCAGAGATTGTAACCAAACCTTTACCTCTAGAGTGGCCCTTATTTTCTACATGATAGTAGCACTAGCAGTCTGTTAACCTCAATTGGTTTGGTTTGGTTACAAAAAAAGGGCTCAGTGTGCTTGTAACCCTTTGCACTTACCTTACTAACAGATACAAACTACTAATACTACTAGTCATGCTGCTTTTTTGCCAAAAAAATGATTGGGAACTAAGTACAAAAGCACATACCACTAGTCTATTCAATCAAAATTAAAACTTGTTGTTTGCTTGCAACAGCAGCAGTACCATATCAGCAGCTCCCTCCACATCAGTGACTTGTCTTGCATCAGCAGCTCATCTGTATCAGGGACTTGTATTGTTTCAGCACCAGCTTAATTTTTTAAACTCATGTTGCTAAATGTTGCCAGTTCTTGCAAATGCAAACCCCCCAAAAGGAAGAAGATGTTTACTTTTTTGTCAAGTATGATTTGTACTGGTGTCTACAGAGGTTTAGCAAGACGAAGAGAGTAGATCAGATCTTACTCTGAAAAAAAATAATGGGAAGGTTAGGGCGTTTTTACAAAAAAGTTAAAAGGTCTTCAATTTACAGTGGTACAAAAATTTCCCACAATAATAACACAGACTTCAACAAAAGTGCATTTCTAGTTCTATATTTCTGGTACACATGTGATGGACCATGCAACACCACAGTTACATGACATAGTATTCAAAGGAGTTTTGAATGTTTGCATTAGTGTCACCCATGTCATAGGTAACATCTGGAGTGCTAATATTGTATAGCATGGGCCAAACGTTTCCAGAGGTGCCAATTGTACATTTTTTATTCAGATATTCAGTCCTGAATACCTTTCAATAATCAATAACCCCCCACATACAACTAGAATCCTATTTTCAAATCCTTTTGATTCATGTGCCTAGTATCATGCTGAAGGGTCCATTGGGGACCAAGTTATAGCTGTTAGATTGAGTTGATGCAGCTTCTTACTAGTTAACTTTTTACATGTTTTTCTACTGTGCATCAATTTTGGGTCATCTTGTTACCATGCAATGACTGGTGGGATTGAAAAATTGACTTGTTCTACTGATACAGCAATAGCACATGTTGAAGCAAAAAGCATGTGCTGCGTGCAAAACTACTACTATTTGTTCCCACCAAGACTGGTGGGATTCAAAAATTCAGCATGTACCAGGCTGCTGTAAACTGCAGTATAAGCCAGCTATTGAGTCAAAGTAGTCATTCTTACATGCAAAATAAGGGCCCAAAAGCTACAACTGTATCGTAGATTGTTGACTGGCCAAGCCAATACAATAGCATTCATAGTAGTGCTCCTCTCTATGAATACACAGTACTAATAGTAGCACTACTATTATAGTACCCGTAGTAGTACTAGTAGTAGTACTAGTAGTATTCTCCTCCCAGTTATTCAATGATTTGTTGTTGTTGAAGCCAACTCAGCACATTCAGGAGGAGGTGCTTTCCACCAGCAGATGATGGCGGCGGAGGTGGGAAGAACTCAAACAATTCGTGTGACCGTGATATTCGAAAAAATCGGGTTTATCGTACCGTACAATGTACCGGTAGGAAGAACAATATGAGAAAATCGTGTGAAGAAAATTGTCATGCTTGTCGTCCGTCCTTCTTCAGGCTATTTTCAAAATTGTGTGTGTTCTTTTTCATGAAGTACTAGTACGATACCTAAAATCTGACATTAAACAATGAAATAAGATGACGAAGTATGGACGCTAGAGGACCATCGAAATTTGGTTATTGGATACAAATGACTCTTCCGGACTATTGTTTTCGTCCAAGTGGGGTTGGTCGAGAAAAAGCCTTTCAACTCTTAATCACTTTTTGTTTCTATCTCGGTCTTCGTAATACTTTTTATGAAACAGCTTTTTGAGAAAAGCCACTCTCACGCTTTTAGTCATCCAAGATTTATTTGCTTCCAAAATTTCGAAAACTGTTGGCACCGGATGGCCTCTTCAAAATTGTAGATATTCTATGCATCGCACTGTTTGACATATTTTAATCGGCGGGAGCATAATAGCAGCAGTCTTAACCATATGATAGAAAACTCGTCAGGGTTGAAATCGAAGAGCTGAAACATTAATTTATTGAGGGTATTCAATCGTTTCGGAAAGATATATTTAAATCATGATGGCCGCTTTAGCTCAAACGATACACAAACACAACGGGTGTGTGGCAGGAGGTCCAGTACGAGACAGAATTGACTTTCATAGGCTTCGGTGCGATGGACTAGAAGAAATGGATTCATTTGATGTGTACCACCAGAGAAATCGTGACAGCAGTAGCCTGACCGAGACAGATGATGGCAAGTATTGCAACGGACACACAAAAATTAACAGACCTGTACACCACATCGAAACCAATGCTGCAGACACGGTTCCGAACTTAAATAACGCCGGTGTGGTAATGATGGAATCGTTTGACTATGATCTCGCGTTGGATTACTTTTGGAGATGTCTCAATTTTCTGCAAGGCAACTGTGGACGTCCCTTCTCCTCAACCTTTCCCGTATCATCAGCCAGATCGATAACAGTATCACAAGTTTCAAAATCCAAATCAATTCTCAGAGAATATGACGAAGGCATGTCGGATTGCCGCACTCCTGTCAAGATGGAGGGCCATTTGTTGGCATTAGTCGATAGTCTAGACAAAGCGACGTTGATAGTACTATTCAACATGGGAATACTTTGTCTGCGACTTGATGTAGACTGGGAAGCGAATGAATGTTTCTCAAGAGCGTTGCCAATAGCTCGGGCCGCGGGTCTCTCGAGTCCCGTGAGCATCGTGTCGATCCTCCGAAATATTGGATGCATTGGATATCGCAACGGTCAACTGGAGAAGGCAACAGAGGCGTTCAAGGAAGCTCTTCAATACCGCGACATAGTTGCCGATAAATTGGAAATTGCAGCGATACTGAACTCTGTTGGTCTAATATACTTCCATTTACCGAAACCAAACACTGCACGGGCCTTAAGATGCTATGGGGAAGCTATGAAGATACGCAAACATAGATTGACTTCCAATCACAAAGATATTGCTACGGTACTGAACAACATTGGACGTGTTCATTTCCTCAAGGAAGAATATCCCAGGGCCTTGGAGAAATATTTGGATGCCCTGCGTATTCGACGGAAAGTGCTGGGAACCGATCACTTAGATGTTGCTGCTACAGTATATAACGCTGGTCAAACTTATCATAAAAGGGGGGACTTGGAAAAGGCCTTACAGTACTATCAAGAATTCATGCGGATTGCTTCACCCATACTAGGACAATGTCATCGCGACGTGGCTACTACACTCAAGTGGATGGCACAGATCTATCATGAACGAAGGGACTACAGCAGAGCAATTTCTTTCTATGAAGATGCCTTAAATGCAGGGCGATCTGCCTTGGGTATTCACCCCGAAGTTGCGTCAATTTTGAACAAAATGGGAAACTTACACTACGAGCGAGGTGACTTCAAAAAGGCTCTGAGCAAGTATAAAGAAGGGTTGAACGTTGAACGAGCCGTGCTGCATCATCTTCACCCGAACATAACGGTAACGCTGACGAATATTGGTCAGATTGCAAAACAGACAGGCGAATACCGCGCGGCCTTGGAATTCTACAAGGAAGCGTTGGATATTCAATCAAAATCATTCGGCAAGACACATCCGGATATCGCCATCACTCTCTCCAATATAGCTCTCATTCATTACCAAAACAAGTCTTACGCAAAAAGTCTTGAGATTTATCAAGACGCTCTTCGAATCCGAAGAGATGCGTTCGGAGATTGCAATCTCGACGTAGCTTCCTCCCTGAATTCAATTGGCCTTGTCCTTTTCAAGCTAGGGATGCATGACATGTCGATGCAGAGCTTTTTGGAAAGCCTGAAGACTCGCCGCTCCATTCTTGGCAACGAACATCGCGACATCGCAATCATCTTGTATAATATTGCCACAATCCATATGGAACGTGGTGAGGACGACGAGGCCCTCAGATGCTATGAGCAAACTCTTAACATAGAAAGAATTGCTCTAGGCTCCGATCATGCTGATCTCGTCTTGACCCTTCAGTACATCGCGCAAGTTCACCAGCAAAACGGGAACTTTGATCGAGCAGTAAACTATTTCACAGAAGTTTTAAGGATCCAACAATTGGGCATGCCTGCCAGCAATCCTTCCATCGTCGACACTCTGAGCAATATTGCTGCAATTCATATGGAAAATGGATCTATTTCCAATATGATGAGTTCCATGTCAGAGGCCACACGCATGGCAATCCGTTCAGGTCAAGATGCGAGTGAGATGAAAGTTAATGGACTACGCTTCTATGATCTAGCATTGAACTCGAAGAGTGCAGCAGCTGCGTAATGAAGTACGGTTACACGGATATTTTTCAGCTTTTGTCAAAACCGTCAAGGAGACGAACTACTCTCAATTTTAAAATATAATAGAATAGAATCAGTTTAGATATACAAAAATACAGTACTGAAAGAAGCACCTTATGGGATACTACTTCTAAAGGTCAAGTATAGAATCCCTTTAGTTGTAAGTATTTTAGCCTCATTCGTTTCAATTTTCATGGGGAATACTTAAACTACTTCAGATATCTGTACAGTCTCAGTAGTGAACAATCTGCTGACTTTGAATCTACTCACGTCTCTTGTGGTTCACCAGGTAGGTAATATTAAGCATCATTTTTCCTATTGCTGCAAATTGCTGAGATCTTTCAAGTTGAGGGTATTTTGGGAGGCCCACCAGATACAGTATCAAAGAGGACAAAAAAATCCTAATATTATATATTACCTCCTCGTGAAATAGAAGAAGCCCTATATGGCAATGCTCCTAGCTGCTCTCCCCTCCAGCCATGTCAGTTTGGTGGAGCCCCAGGCAAGGAGGCTCAGACTGTTACCCTTATGGAAGAACTACATTTTGACTACTCTCAATCAACAAGGACTCCCTTTGCCAAGTTTGACAATGATGCCTCCTCATGTTATGACCGCAGTCTCACCACTCTCTTGAGTCTTTCCAGGAGAGGCTAGTATGGTAGTATTCATAAAGATGTTATCAGTGTTCATGCTCACACACTACAGCAAGTAGACTACAAAGTGAGGGTTTCAAATCACATCACCAATGCATCCTACAAACACTGCTCAAGGTTTCCAATACATGGCACTGGCCAAGGCTCTGTCGACAGTCCTATCATTTGGGTACTCCTGTCAAGCAGATTGTTTGAAGCTCACAACACTGAATCCTATGGAATGCAGTTCACCAGTCCAGATGGCATATTCTCATTCTCTGTGTCTATCATTGGTTTTGTTGATGACTCCACTGTCATCACAGCTGCAACCCCAGATGCTTCTCTTTAGGAACTCTTTGAACAACTTTATTCAGATGCACAAATATGGCATGACCATCTTTCGTGCTCTGGAGGGAAATTGGAACTTCCAAAATGTGGTTTTGACCTCCTGTACTATGATTTCCAGGACCACCCTGAGTCTCCACTTGATATGCGTCCTGGAGTGCTTCCCACAACTGGTGACATCTTCCAAACTGATCCTCTAAGAGAACCAGCAGTGAGAATTGCTTCAAAGAATATTTTTACCCACCCAAGAATCTTGGCCACCATGAATCACCATGTGGATCATATTAGTTTTTTCAACTGAAATAGTTGATGGAAATGGGGAGTCTGAGGGGTAGTAGAAACACTAAAAATCTGGTATGAACTAGTAATGTAGACCGTAGTACAAAATGAATGGCTGTTTTTAGAGACTAGTATAAACTGTTTCTTCCAGAAAATATACAGAGCCACCAATAGTTGCTGTTTCTTTGAAACATGACAGTTTTTTCACAAAATACATTTGATGCCACTACGGGAGGGAGAAAATGCAACTGGACGAAATTGCAACTTTTCTACCAAAAACTACGCAATCTGATGTTAAGTTGCTATTTAACAATACAATTTAACAATACAATTAAATTTGCACTGTACCGTAGATTGAGCAGTTTATTGCACGCATTTAACACGTAAGGGACTAAATTTGTACTTCAATGCAAATTTGCATTTTCTCCCTCGCGTAGGCCACAAGATGATGACAATTCGAGTTTCCACTTGCAGCGAACCGCGAAAGACCTAATCAAAGATCGCATAACTTTTTTGAACATGCTGGTAGTCTACTAGTATCCTAATCTACGGGACGTACCGGTACGTAAGGTACTCGTACTTCACGAAACGATTCCCCGCCTTAACGGTCTGTTTGGAAAATTGAAAGACAACTTTGAAAACTCGTTGTACGCGTAATGGAAGAGCTGTTCACAAATTCTACGCATAAGGTAGCATATTGTGCGGACAAAGATTACATTGTTGATCATGGGCTGCTGCTGTTCTTGCGATGGCAAGGACGGTGACAAAGCGATAAAGGAAAGCGAATTGGTGGAGCGGGAGACGCCACAACAAACCATTAATGTTGCCATGAGTAATCCATCGATACAGGTAACGAATCACCTTTGTGTCACAGGATCAGGCCTTGCATTGATTGGGACGGCTTTGGAGCAAGATGCTGCTTACTGGGAATATCATGTAACCTTACCAGCAAGGAAACACGTCGATACCATTTTATTTGGAGTGAGCAGCAAGAAAGATAGAAAGTTTTACAAGGAGATAGATGGGAAGGGGGGGGGCGAGAAAGAAGGTCCGTACTTGAAAGCTCCAAATCTATTATTGTTTTGCAATAGTAAAGTCGTATCTTGATATTGAGTTTGTTACATCTTCCAAAATCTGAACTACGATGTATTAAACAGCCTGACATATCTGGACGACTAATCAATGTAATTTTGCTTTGTTTTTGATAGGGGTTCCTTCAGAAGGTAACGGGACGAGCTGGATGAGATGCGTCGAAGGCCTCCAGAACGGCGATATCGTAGGAATAGCTATGCAGCAATCAGGTAAGTTAATTTTTCAGCTCTCTGACAAACGACCAGATGATGTGATGTACTTAACACTTTGTGCCATATGTTAATATCAAGTTCTCTCACTCGACTTTCATTATCAAAGACTTACCAATGGTGCAATTTTTTCACAACGGAGAACCTCTCTATGACATCGCCGTGAACAGGTAAGAACTACTACAATAAGTGAAAACAACGACATTGCTCCGTCTGAAATGGTCCGGGCGTTCCTTTTTGTCTCACCAAGTCTCCCATTTCAAATTCCCGTATATTGTCTTTCAGATTCCGAGGAACCGTTTACCCATCAGTTTGTCTTCCGATGTCAATCGATATCGAGTTGAAAATCACAGTGGTTGTAGCCGAGAACAAGTTCCAGCACATGTCCCCGGCTGCAAAATTCGGCCCAATTATTGAGGCTAGAAGTATCGTATGACATGGTGAATTTGCTAGATATTTCAAATAGTTACACCCATAACCAAAAAAAGAAGACGACGATTGGCAGCTTCTACTAGTGCTCCCAAGTTACTACGCTTTAACTAAAACCTTCTTCACTATCATCATACCGAACCCTGCAGCCGCTATGGAACAGATATTATTTGTCGCTACATACGCCAATGCCCTAGTGGTTCTACCCTCTGATATCCAGGTGACAACATCAAACGAAAATGTGCTGAAGGTAGTGAAGCTACGAGCAAGGTACACGGAATGAAACAGTTAGATCCGATTTCACTTTCTGACTCAACTAGTGCATTGCTCTATACGATACATTTCCTTTAGTCTTTTCCCACTCACCTGCCGCAAAAACTAGTTTGTTTCAAACAATTACAACAATGGAACTGCGGGTGAGAATCGCAAGAATTTTTGATCTCCGTTAAAAAACCGAGAACGATAGTAACGTACCCAACACCAAGCATCAATTTCGCCCTCGGAGTAAGACCTTGAAACGCTTTGTGCTGCTCCTTTGCAATGCATGATTTGAATTCATTGATTTTATCGAGGTCCACGGTGGGCATGCCGTATATGGCGCCAAGGAGAAAGCTTCCCGAAATGTTCAAACCAGCAGTATGCTGAGGGACCAGTGTGGAAAAATGGGAAAAAAGTGAATAAATTATTGCCAACACCATCATAGCAAAAATGTAATTTCACTTTTAATGGGAAATGGGCTACGATATGTTAGATTGCGTCCAGGATTTTTGACTTACCCACCCTGCGAGCTTACCGTATCGTTTTGGATCAGTAGCAATGAAATCTGCTGCAATCTTACCCGCCTGGTACCGAGAGAGGGCACCTGCCAACAGGCAAAATGGCAAAAAATAAGAATTTGATTTACGTTGGGAAAAATGTAGAAATACGCATTTCGTCGAAATACATAGAAAGGACTTTACACACCGAAAAAGGCACCGAGGCCAAGAACTGCAACGTCGACTGGAATCAATCCAGACATTTCTTTCCACACGAGTATAGATTAAATGGGATCTTTCTTTTGCTGGGGGTCCATCAACTGTAGAAGTAATTCAGTCTTAGCGGAATCTATTGTCGACAGAAGGGCGAAATCCTGCTTCTCTTTTCCAAAGAGTCGCTGGCAACAAGCAATGACACGCTACCCATCGGTGATCTGTGCAGAAAGCATCGAACTTCGTCAATAGTTCGGTAGTACGTGCGGTAATACGTAGAATGTTGTAGCACCGGACAAGTTCATACGCTTCGACAGACAAAAATTCCGTAAGGATTTCTCAGAATAAAAAAAGGAGCATATCAACGAAAACCGAAAACCAGATCTTGAAGATGACCTAGAAATTGAACGGTACTCGTACTCGTACTACTACGAGTTTCGTAACAATTGAAACCGGACTCCGCCCAGAGAGCAAAAAGTAATAATTTCAAGTTCTAAACTTCGATTTGAAGTTATGAACTTCAAAATGTCCTTGTAGAAAGTCTACCAGGTTCTACTGAGCTAGTTTTTGGATGGCATTCATGATTGAAAGGCCAGGATTCATAATTGAATCATCTCGAACCATTTTGTTTTGTTTTGAGGGGAATTGATTCGGTCATTCGTTCATTTTAAAAACAAGCATCTGGTCAGTGAAGAAGCTGAACCAGTTTATGCAGGCAGGAGGAGGAATTGACAGTAATAACAACCAAATGAAGCTTGGAAGCTGCTGGGTGATGATGCAGAGGAATGGTATCCTCCTCCCAATGTCCAGTATACATCACCTGGAGGAGGTGCGACCCAGAATGGCTGCCCTATGAAACATAGGTTTCATTCTTGATTGACATGTACTACTAGTAGAACTCAATAGCACCAACATCCAGTCTTTGTTGGAGGGCAGGCAGGCATTGGTTTTCATAGACATACTAGTACGCAGTAGTACTACTAGTAGACATTGTAGATTTACGGTACGTACTACCGTATCGAGCCAGATGCCACGCCCTGTACTAGCTTTTTCAAACGTGGATATTCTCAGACACGCGCTTCCTAAAAATGATGTTTTCTTGCCACGCACTCTCGTGGGTCTGATGCAAACCTATTACAACAGCACTTCTTCGATTCACTCCATACCATCCCAGTAGTCAATTGCATTTCAATACCGTAGCTGAAGGGAGGCATTCGATCGCTTGGGAGGAAAAGAGCAAAAGACTCGTAATCGGCGACACAGAGAACTCTGATTGTATGAGTTATGTCTGAAAAGTTATCTTTGTTGATCGAATCCATTTCCCCAAAGATGGATCGAAGTTGGATTGTTCGATGCTTTCTTTGCGTCCTACTCATAACAGTTTCGAGTACTGTATGTGCTTTATCTGTGCGAGACAGCACCTATGATTCGGACTCGGGCAGGCGAAACTTTTTATCAAGTTCTGCTTCGATCATTGGAGTGTCTACTTGGGGTTACTCGAGTTCTAATGCAAACGCAGCCCAAACTAAGAACGTGATTTCAAATCGTTTGAAGGAAGAAATTCTTTTCTTGCCTCCCCCATCCACGGCATCTGAGTTCAATGGAGTTGATAACCTGTACTTTCCCTCATACTTGAATGGAGAATGGGAAGTCATTCAGACACTGGTAGATATGCAAGCACCTCTTGGTATGAAATATATAGGTGGGCCAAACGGAAGTGTTGAGATTGCGGAGAAGACAATGAAAGAGGCACGGTCGAAAATAGGGTTGCCAGTGAAATTGAATCTTCGTTATGTTCCCACAAAATGGGGGGTTGCTGAAGATCGTCTCTACAACAGTGAAGCACGACTGAATGCTTTTGCTCAAAAGAATGTCGTTGCGTCGGTACAATATGCCGACGTAGGAGGCAGCAACCGCAAGTCTACATTGGCTCTAGGAGGGACAAACGAGGATCCCTTACAAACAACCCTTGTTTATTTTAAAGGCCCTGCAGCACAGAAGAGTTTCGTCACTTCACATGGGGCAGAAGAGGTGTCTGAGATGGTTTGGACGGGATACGAAGTACAAAGATCTATTTTCGCCTTGACGAATCAGAACACATCCCCTCCGATCACCACTGATTCAGAATATATCTGGAGCTTCGAACTACTAGATGCCAACAACATACGCGGAAAACTGAGAATTGCAGGTTACCTGAATGCTCAAGCTGATACTCTATACTTTGATGCTCGCAATCGCGCCGTATCGTTACAAGATTATACGTTGGACATGAAAAGGCGTTAGTGAAATTACTTTGGATACGAAGGATCTACTAAATTCGATCTGTCGTTTTGTTCACAAAAATATAAGTTCTAATCGCTGTAACCATGGTTATCGTCATCACTAATGGACGCATCGTCGACAGGGTCCTCCATTTCATCGATATCATCGTCATCATCGTCCAGTAGATTGTTGGTATCTTCAAACGCGTCATTCTCGTTGAGAGGGTTTCGAAGATCGTCCATTGCGGCATCTTCTCGCTCTTGTTTTCGCTTTTTCTTTGCTTCCCTCTTCTCCTCGGCTGCTTTACGTTTTCGTTCCACATTTCTTTCTTGTTCCTGTCTGCGTTGATTCTTGAGCCGAACTTTGTATTCGGCTTTTTCTATAATTGCTTTAGCTTCCTCAGGTGTCTTCTTAATGTGAGCGTGATACATAACGGTGCCGGCAGCAAGACCTTGTTCGACCTTAACGAGTTCGAGACACAGTCGAGGCCCTAATTCTACCAATTTTAAAGCGGACTTTCCTTGACTTTTGTTCCCTTTTCCAACATAGTTTTGAGCGAGCTGTACCACAGCATTAGAGCCATCTTCGGGTTCCGAATCGCTAGCCGCGTCTACACTTGTGGTGGCATTGGCATTGCCTGCAATATAATCAGCAATATCTTGGACTTTATTCAAATTTGGAATTTTCGACTGGATGAGCCGTCGAACCTTCTTGTCGATACCAACCGGTGTAGCTTTAATGGCATACTGCCGAACTTCGACACGTTGCTTCGCCACAGCTGATCCGTCTGCTGATTCCCCCTCCGGACTTTCTTCTTCGATCAGATGGAACAGAACCACTCGTCGACAATCTTTCAATTTGACGTTTGCAACATTGATCGCCGGAAACATATTTTGAAATGAAATCCTCATAAGTTTGACCTGTGGAGGGGCTGTTTGATCACCAAAGTTATTAGTCACAACAATCGGTGGACTATCTAGTAATGATTTTGTATTTACTGGACGTCTTTGCAGTTTTTGAATATGTTTCGAGAGTGAAAAACGATGCACTCGAAAGGTCAATGTGGGACCTTGCGGTGTTTTTGCGATTCTCATAGACAATCGATCTTTATTTTGTGAAAAAGCAATGATATGGGAGACCCCAAGCGGGAGGCAAACGTGCTGACAGTATTTAGCGAGAGTTAGTTTGCGATAACTTGCATCTTCTTGAAAGTTCAAAGCGGTGTATGGCATCATCAGTCTTCGGAGATCTTGGATTAGATCTGTGACAACCGATTCACATTTTCCACGTCGGATAATCAGAGATTTGGGCACCTTGACAACTTCAGAATTAGTTAAAGTGCCTGCCACATTCTCTTCGTTTGCAACGTGGGTGTGGGTCTTTTTGCGTCTTCTACCTCTCCTCGGCATTTCTCTTCTTCTTCGAATGAAGCTGTGGCTCTGCTTTCTTTCGGTGGTCAGGTACTGAGAGTGTTACGCCACTTCTTCGAGTTCCTTGTTGCTCAAACGAAACACAAAACAGGGGTGTTATGATATACGGGAAGGAAAAGCTTCTCGACGCCTTTACAATAGTTCATACGGTACAATACTGCTCTTCGAAGCTTTCTAGAGAACGAACTGATTTTCTTCAAAAAAATTCAGAATCTGCTCCATTACTGAATCGAATTACATCAATGGTCGTAATTCAATTTTGTTCCGAGAATCGGGGAAATTCACGATCGCGCGTTGTTATTGGCGCGATGTAAAAGCAAGCTGTCATGCAACATACTACGTACGCGTTTCATAACAATTGAAATCGGCCGCGCGATCGCGCAAGTGCTCTTCAATCAAAGTTATCATCTTTGAATCGAAGTTGTCATCTTTGTTTTAGTGTGTTACAGTAGCGACTCTTATTTTACAACGACTTGCTTCTTTTTTGTCGTCGGCAATCAGCAGTATGAGCAACAACAACAACAACAACAACAACAACAACAACAACAACAACAACAACAACAACAACAACAACAACAACAACAACAACAACAACAACAAC